TCTCATTAGTCTGATAGGTTATCACATGGACCTGATGTCTTGTGCTTAGGTGAAGTTCGTCATCAGTGACTCCGCACGTTCGATGTGAAGACTCATAGACTTTGCAACAAGCTCTCCAGAATTTGGCACAATCCTACCCTTGTGCTGGCCATCTTTTACACTTGGTTGTATGCAATGGTCTCTCTCTATATCTTCAAGACGGTGCGGAAGAAGCCGACCACAACTCAGAGTCCGACGACCTCGAAGGCCTGGAAGATGACACCGACTCGGAGTCCAGTAACGACGAATCAGATGATGTAGCTTCTGATGACAGTTTGGAGGAAGACGATGAGGAATGGGTGGAAGGTGCGGATGAAGCTTGGCTGAATGGGATTGAGACTGAGCCCACAGCCCGAACCAAAGACAGGAACCTAACTACGAAGAAGCTGGTCGATAAGGTCCGAGCTATAATCGTACTGCTCCGCCGATCTTCTTTGGCGAGGGACATTATGTCGAAAATACGTGGGTTACCAGGCTCCGAGTTACTGTCATTTCCCATGGATGTCCGTACTCGTTGGAATTCTACCTATGCTATGCTAAAGGATTTCTATGCTAATAGAGAATGGTATAAAAAGTTTTTGAAGGATGCCCCCAAGCATGTGAAACCAAACTCTCCTATCTATACGACGTGTAAATCTTGTAAACTGAAGGATACCGAGTATGGTTTAATATTGGCTATCTGTAATACTCTCGAGCCTTTGAATGATGCCACCAAGCTGCTCAGTGCTTCCAATTTCAGTACCCTTACACAGCTTCATGAGGTTATTTCTATGTTGAAGCTCTTTTTGAGATCGAGCGAGACTAAGAGCACATACGTCAAGCGTTTGCAGGGAAATCTTCTCTTCCAGCTCGAGAAGTATTTTGAATATATTACGACGGATGATTTCATTCTTGCTGCTGCCTACCTCAATGCTGACACGCGTAGAAGCACCTATTCAGAGGAGCTCAAAGTGGATAATGGAATTGGTCGGTCTAGTGTTATCCAATGCATAAAGCGTCTGAAGATATCCAGCAAATTCGTCTCGTTGCCCGTTGCTAAGCCCAATCGACAATCATGTAAGGGCGAGAAGAAGTCTACTAGTGCATTCTTCGATTTCATGAACAATCAAATCTGCTCTGATCTTGCCTCAGAAAGCATGGCTGATGGAGAAGGGGCTAATTTAGAGCCTGGTGACGTCGATGAAGAGCGCCTACAAAGCCTTCTCAGCGAGTATGAGCGTAGAGCAAGAACCTACCCTACTCCTCAAGAACACGACAGTCAGCCTATCCCCGACGGTATTGCCGGGTCTCGCGTTCGGAATAAATTATTTTGGTTCCACAATAAAGATCTAGATGAGTTATTTACTTTGTCTACAATTTTGACGGGGGTCCCAGCAACATCGGTGAGCAGCGAAAGTTGCTTTTCCGTCGCCGGGGCACTGTCCAGGGCAAGGCGGAGTCGCCTAACAGCGAATAGGCTGCGTTCGTTGGTTATTTTGCGAGGTTTTGTCTGATGAGGCTAACTAAGCCTGTGTCTTCTGTTAATTAATCATTGATCATGAATCATTAATGATTATTTGCGTTCAGTCTCTCAATAGTACAGTGAGCCTGGAAATCCGGACCGGATTACCCGGCCAACCCGGCGGGCCCGCTAAACCCGGAAAATGGGTGAGAGAAGACTGCCGGGTCGCCGGGGCCGGGCCGGGGGAGCGGGTTCGAAGGCTGCCGGGCCGGGCCGGGCCGGGCGGCTAGAAAATCGCCGGGTGCCCATCTCTATCGGAGAGTCTCCGACGGAGACACACCTCTTCTCCGTTTATACACTTCATCACGAAATTTTCATGCAACTGCATGTAAAATGTCCAAAAGAAAATATTTTTGTCATCTCTACAAGTGTTGGGTTGTATTACATTTGACGTTAGAATAGTAATGTTATGGGCAGAATATCTCCCGGAGCTATGTCTCTGATTTTTTTCTCAGTAATTGTCCCTCCCGCTACGTCACAATGATTTCGACAGTCGTGGTATTCGCGATAACTCTGCTTTTTTGGGAATTTGTATTACGTCGTCCACTGGACACGTTGTCAGCTGCGAAGCGCGAGCCGTCGCCTGAAGGCCGCC